TTTATAAGAATAAATTATAAAAATGAATGACTTAGAAAAGTGTATTCAATTAATTAAATAGTACTCAATAAGCAAAACATATGATTTGATTCAAAACTTGACAAAAGGAAACAAAAATATTTATTATCATCAATCTCACGTACACAAAGATCTCTTCCACATAATTAATGTTCGGTGCATGACTGGTTAAAAAAATTTTTATTTTAAACCAATTTTGTCAAGTCAATACAGTTTCTTTCTCAATATTAATAATTCATATTCTATCTATTTCTATATTGTTACTTTCAATTTCAATTGCAATTTTAAACAACCTTTAAAGCCTCTAGCTTGACTTCTATCATACTATTTAATAAATTATTAAAATAAAATTTTATCACTTACATCATGTATTAATAATTAATAAATTTATCCCACTGTTATTGTTATGAATATGACCCCGGAAACTACATAGATAGGTTACCCTAAAGTTTTCAAAATTTACTAATGGGTTTACCCAACACTCTTCATATTAGGCTTACCCAAGTTGGTAGTAACAAAACCCCAGATTATTATAATTGAGGTAACATCCGATTTTGATAAAGTTTTTTGCTGAAGTTACATGAAAACTTGGGCAAAAACTTTTAAATATGTGGTGTGACTGTTTTGGGTACAGCAGAAAATTTTATTATCCAAATCAGGCAAAGCAAAATAGGAAACATGGGCAAGGGTTAAAATTGTAATTGATATATAGAAAGTTTTGTGCCCTTTTTCCATTTCAAGTAAATTTTCTATTACTTCAAATAATGTTTTTATTTTATCTTGGTAATAATAATATTATATTAGATTCAGATATGGGTGGTTTATTAAGGTTACATATGGGTAAAGTTTTTAATTTTTTTGACATGTTATATACTAAAATGGGTAAAGGAGAGAAATGTTACATGTAACGTTTTCTAAAATCTACTAATAGCCTGGAATTACCTAATTATAATAATCCGGATCCTTATCAATATTATATGACAGTCCGTGTAATTCGGCATACTTCTAAATCAACAAATGCTCATGTTGACAAATTTGAATGGTCAATTATAATTATATTATCTTCGTCGACATTTCTTTCGAATTGAAAAATCATCAATTGTGCTTTTAATATATAGAAAGATTTTTATCAAAGTTTTTAATCGACAAACAGTCTATGATTGAGTGAAAAGATTTCTTTGGTTACACGACTGTAATACAAGTAAAGCTTTTCTTTTAAATATTAATGTGAAATTTTTTTTATGTGGTGAAACAAGAGTTTTTTATTTGTAATAGAAAATTCTTATCTGTTATTCAAATCCTACAATGACTATTTGCTAGTAAAAAAAGAATAACTTACCTCTACCAATCATTATTTCTACAAGGGAAAAAAAACAATTATTATCATTATTAATTGACTAAAGAAAAGAAAAAACGTCATTACTTTTGCTATTATTACTATTATTATCACTATAAAGGGGAAATAGAACTAAAGAAAATTGGATTGGATTAGCAATGTGCATATTAATATTCGAATTATTTATTTGTTTTATGAATTATTAGATTTATTTGTATTGAATAAACGTGCGAACAACAACAACAATAATAATAAACGAATAAAAACAAACACTAGAACTGGTGGAACAAACAAGAATAATTTGTAGGAAACAATTTCTAAACTTGGTTAGAAGTTACTTTTTGTTTACAATGCAAGGAAAGACTCTAAATACTGATGTTAATAAATTGTATTCTGATGTTGAATTAATCAAAGACATGTTTTTAGTAATATTTTGAAGCAAATTTTTTGATTATTCAACAAGTTAGGGTATCTTTAAGATAGAATATCGATTAGATTTTATTAAACTCGTTTATTTTAAATGCTGAGATATTTTACTCTCACTAATTCGCAACGAACATGATGTAGTACACGGAAGATATTTAATCGAGGAAATCTAGAACGAGTCAATTACTCATATTTTATGTTGGAAATTTGGAAATTTGGAAAGTGGAAATATAGCATTATTAAACTAATTTCAATTTTTTCCAAGCTAAAGTTATTTGCAAATGACAAGTTAATTTTAAATACTCGCTCGAGAGGAAGAAAGGATCTCTAGTGGGGCATTTAAAATAGTAGCAGGATTGGCCTCCAGTACGCTACCTATAGGTGATTAGATATACTGGCTCAAAGTTTAATGTTAAAGAACCGATCTATATAGATTAAAGCCCCAAATAAATCGAACCATATTTTAAACCGATTCATCCCAATTCAATTCGTGACTCAGTTCGGATCTCCAACTATTGTAATTTAATATCCAAGTTATTTTATGCCCGTGGAGCAATTTTTACTTAATACGCAAGTCGCGTCTACTCGATGGCTTTTGAGTATTTTGTAGTCGAAGTTTTACGAAATGTTTCTTTCAAAACAATTTTTTTTACAAGACTGACAATTTATTTTTTTTTTTTGGAGTTGATATTTATTTATAAATAGATTACGAATTTTAAAACCCCTGCTTGTGTTGCAATTTTTATAGTTATATGCAATATAATAATATATGTTGTTGATTCGGATCAAAAATTGTGATTCGGAAATTTACGAATTTGTTTCACGCTCTAATTCTATTTTTCCTAGTTCTCCTAAAAAGAATAAACCATTGACAAAGGGAGATAAAATGGGGCAAAATGGAAATGAATAAAATGAATAAATGGTAAGAATCTGGTAATATCGTGAAAATCAGATGGGTTATAATAATTATTTAATAAAGATTAATAATAAATTAATGCAAGATAATAGTAAAAAAAAATAAAGAGTTCTTAAACTTGATTTGGACTCATTCTTTGTAAAATTGCCGAGAAAGGCCTTCAAGTCATTTCGTTGAGCGATGATGTAACAGATGTAGCGAACAAGCACAAAATGTCCATAGACAATATTGACCAATAACAAATTGGCTACCTTGTCCGCTATAATCTTTTTTAGAATTAACATACGTGAAAATTAAAATTGGCCAATCAAAAAGAAATTTCGCCCTTTCATTATATATAGATTTTATTTCAATTTCAATTTTCAATTTTAAATTTCAATTTCAATTTCAATTTCAATTTCATTTTTTAAATTCAATCAATTTTCACATACAGCCAAAAACAAATCAATAATACGAGAAATAAAATGCCATACCACACATTCCCTGTACTCAATCAAAATTTCCTTGTTGACGATAAATATGAATTTATTCGTGAGTTAGGCCAAGGAGCTTATGGTGTTGTGTGGTAACTAATGTTTTTTAAGTTGGTTATTTTCCTGTTCCTTTTGAATCTCAACAATCTTCATTTCATTAATTACTTTGTTACACCATAGTGCAGCCAAAGATATTGAAGCAGGAGAGAGTGTTGCCATCAAGAAAGTTACTAAAGTTTTTGATAAAAACATTTTGGCTAAACGTGCTTTACGAGAAGTAAAGCTATTAAAGCACTTTAATGGACATGAAAATGTTGGTAAATTTGTTATACTTGTTGCTTTTTATTGGTAATTAATACTAATGGTCAAATATTATTATTATTTGTTAGATTACATCAATCATAGATATGGATATAACAAACATTAATGATTTTAACGAAATGTAACGTGCACCATCTGACCAAATTGTTTGTTTAAATTATATATAGATGATTCTATTTATATATTTATATATATATATATATAACATCATCTCATCATCTTCGAAATCTAAATGATTAAACAATTAATTAACTATGTAGATATTTGTTTCAAGAGCTCATGGAAGCCGATCTTCATCAAATTATACGTTCAGAACAACCACTTACTGATGCACATTTTCAATATTTTATATATCAAATTTGTCGGGGATTAAAATATATTCATTCTGCGAATGTCTTACACAGAGATTTAAAACCTGGTTTGTTTAAAGATATAAAATAATAATAATAATTGTATTCATCAATTAAATTACATTTTTTTTAATTATCAAATATTTATTCAAAAAGGTAATTTATTAGTAAACGCTGATTGCGAGCTCAAGGTAAGATGATTAAAGTGACTATAATATATGTTATTATCCTAATTGACAAATTCGTACTAATTAATACACACGCATAATTGTAAATAGATTTGTGATTTTGGTCTTGCACGAGGATTTTCCGATTCACCAGATCATAATTCAAAATTTATGACTGAATATGTTGCAACGCGTTGGTATAGAGCTCCTGAAATCATGTTAAGCTTTCAAAATTATACAAAAGCCAGTAAGTTTTTTTCCATATAATCTATCCATCTGTTTATCTGTTTATCTATTTGTATGCAATTATTTTGGAAATTTTGGATTTTTTTAATTCCAAAGCAACTGATAATGATGATAATGATGACAATGATGATAATTGTATATCACTGATGAGTTGTTTCTTATTTTGTTAGTCGATATGTGGTCAGTTGGATGCATTTTTGCAGAAATGCTTGGCGGAAAACCTTTATTTAAAGGACGTGACTATGTTGATCAACTTAATCAAATTTTAAATATTTTGGGCACACCTGATGAAGAAACTTTATGTAGAGTTGGGAGTGAAAGGGTTGGTTGATGATGATGATCACTGATGTTGATTAATTGAGTCATTATTTTCTAAAAAGAAGATAATTTTGCTAATAATAATAATATTGTATTTTTGAATTAAAGGCTCAAATTTATATTCGTAGTCTTCCAAAAATGACAAAAGTTCCATTTTCACAGTTTTATACAAAGGCAAGTCCTTTAGGTAAGTATTAATATAATATAGAAATGATCTTTTACTGTATTATTAATGTTAATATTTTTATTTTTATTTGTTAAAAGCACTTGATCTACTAGAAAACCTTTTAATGTTTGATCCTGAAACAAGAATCACTGTTGAACAAGCTCTTGCTCATCCATATTTGGCTGCTTATCATGATGAAGAGGATGAGGTTATTTATTGTTACTATTATTATTGTTATATATTATATATGTTATATATATTATTAATATATCTTGATTATAATAGCCATCACACGAGCACATATTTAACTTTTCTTTTGAAGCGGTTGACTCAATAGAAGAAATGAAAAGTGAGTGATGATGATGATAATGATGACGATATGAATTTAATAATTAAACAATTAAATAAAATTGATAATAATTAATTATATATCATAATAATAGAAATGATTGCTCAAGAAGTAATGTCTTATAAAACGTCTAGACAAGCAGCATTAACCGTTAATGGAACACAATTAGCACGGAAACCAAGGTGAATTGTTTGTTTAATTATAATTTATCTTCCCTAATTTTCTTTCACTTGCACTCACATTCATACATAATCCCAACCTCTTCCTCCTTCAATTATCTTCTGTGTTAAATGTTAGTTTATCAGTCCCTGATCGTGATTCAATACAATCATCACAAAATAATTATGATTCGTACACTGCTAGTCAGAATGCAATTATAAAATCAGAAGTCATGGAAATAGATGAACAATTGGAAAAAGAATTGGGTGGTTATATAGATTATTTGTGATGATTGTTATTATTATTATTATTATTATGATTTGATATTTATTTTTTGTAAGGAAATATATAACAATTTATGATGTTGATGAAAAATGGTTTTAGACAGCTTTAATAATTTAATATTAAAGAGAAAAGGAAATTTTTTTGCGTTATAAATAAGCAAAATTTTCCCTTTTGTTTAATTATTCTATCTTTTTTGACTTGACTTACTAATCTAATAAAAAAATAGATTAAAAATAATATATCGAATCATAAAGGTAAACTAACAAATCAAAATTATTGTTAATCAAAGTATGTTAATATAGGGGAAAGTGTTATAAAAAATCCTACTACAAACACCAAGACACAAACATCTTCCCATAAACTATTCCATATTAATCGATATCTTATTAAAATTTTAATTATATCTGGAAATGGTGCAGGTAAATTAGCTGCTAAGCTTCCCAATGTTGAACCTTGAAATAGTTGATCCTAATCAATAAATGGGGAGAGAAGAGAGAAGTCAACGGATGTGTCGAATATATGTGTATGTGTGTAACAATATCAAATTTTATTTACCTTTTGTAATAATAATCTCGTAGATTGTAATATTAACTCAGCTGTTATAAAATACCAAAATAATGGCACACTATGGATTCGATTGATTACTAATATATCATCAGGTTTTTCATAATTTAAATAATAAAATCTAGTCAAACCACCTTGCAACCTTAATAACTCGCTAGATATAAAATATATTCCCAAGAAAATCATTGATACAAAATGAATAAATTTCCAGAATCTAGATTGTAATAATAATTGAATGCTACCACTACTACGGCCATTACCACCATCATCACTACTACTACCACCATCATTAATATTATTTATATCATTGTCAACACTGCTACTACCACTATCACCAAATAGTGAAAAAATCCTCATATCAGGGTTAAGAAATGGCGGAAATGGTAATGGCATTTGTTCTAATTGTTGATTTAGAAAAATATCTGTGTCATCTGTTGACAATGGGAATCGTGGCGAGTATTCGTATTCGCCAATCGGTGATGAAAAAGATGTAGTGTTACTATTTCTTCCTTGATGTTGACGATTTTCTAACATGTTTCTATAAAATTCATTATTATTATTTCTTTGTGATAATAATAGTTCCTCATTTCCTGATAACGTATTTAATTGTCTTGAAATTGATCCGTGTAAATCTAATCCCGTACTAATATCATCACTAATTCTTGTACGTGGTGTTGGCGATGAATCATAATTATTATTATTATTATTATTATTATTATTATTATTGTTATTATTACTGTCAACTGAAAATGATGATAAATAATCATTATTACCACCACCACTACCACTGTATGCTTCGAAATTACCAGTATATCTTCTACTACTACGCGAAAAAGGACTATTATCTGGTGCATTTTCACTGGTTGGAGAATGTTGTAGAGATCTATCGGTAAAGGATGTTGTTAACGTTGAGTGGCTACCACCGCCACCAACACCACCACAACTAGGAGCATCTCCACCAAGCGAAGAGTATGTAAAAGTAATCTTTGATAATCTATTACCTGCCTCCCCTAAAATTTTTTGTTGACGACGACGTCTTCTCTCGATATCACTTGTAGAACGACGTCTTCTTTCTTTATCGCTACCATTAACACTACTAGGACTTTTCTCTACATTATTATCATTATTATTCTTAATGCCAGCGTCTTTATCACTAGTGCCATCAGCAATAACAGTATTTTCAGACATTATATATTTTATTTATTATATTAATATGAATAAATTACAAAAAAAAATGATCCGTCATAGAAAAAAAATTTTTTAAAAAATTTAGGGATTTACAGATTTACAACAGGTATCATATGGGGTATGCTGCAACAAAACCAGACAAAGTGAACATTGGTATTACCAAGGATTTTAGGGATCAAAATTTCCCATTTGTTTGTTATCTTTGTTTTTTTCTTAAATATTAAGTGATATAGAATTACCTTTATATAAAATATTTAATATGAAGTTTAGTGTTGAAAGTCGACTGGAGTCATTAGTCACGATTAGATTTCAGTCATGACTAGATTTAGTCACGGCTAGATTTTAGCCACTAATAGGTTCTAGATGTAAATACTCTAATCTTGATACCTTAATTTTTTAAAAAAATATATTTGATTGTTCACAAAACTATCATCAATAATAATAATAATTGTATTTTTCGGCAAATTTTGATTGGCAGAAATTCCTATAATATCCAAAGAATCGTTTTTTATTTTTGTTCTTAGAAATATTAATACACCGTTAATATTGCAATTCATCGAAATAATATGATACTTATTCTCCAGCAAAATTTTTTTAGTAATTGTGTATATTTTATATTGATAAGAATGATAAAGCAACAATGACAATAATAATATTCCATTCATTTATAATTTTTGACCTATTTTGTTATAGCATTATGTGTAGCTTATTCCGTTTTGGGAGTAAATCTCCGTTTTTTAATTATGCTTAAATTAGTGAAATAAATTATACAAATTATCTCTCTAAAAAAGAATTCAGAATTTTGTTTTTATAGATGAAATTTGACTAATTAATGATAAACCGGATAATAAATTTTTTGGACCTTTAAATTAAGATTCATTGTGTAATATGATTTATAAATGATTCACCATAAAATGTAATATAATTTCTGAACTATATAAAAAAAAATATATTGAATTTCAGAATAGTATTTAAAAAATCTGAAAATAAATAAAAAATAAAATAATTTACCTCATTAAGAAATTAATTTAATAACACATAATAATAATCAATTCCTTATTATAGTATTACTATAATCACATTAATGAAATATTCTACATAAAATTCTCTTTTTATTTATCTATCAAGTTTTTTTTGTTTTAAAAATTTTGTAAGTACATGCATGAAATTAACGTCTAAATTCTGCAAATAGGTGTAATATATATATTAATACGTACTTATTAAGCAATCTTTTTAGTTGTGGGCTTTCAGGGTCGTTTCTAATATATCCATTAGAAATTTGAGCTGGTGGTGTGAAATCCTCTGGACGTTTAATAAAATCTTGAGCCAAAATCTTAACCTGCTCCTATGAATACGAAAAATTTATTATGAATTTCAAATATCATAACTGAATAAAATTTTAGTTGAAAATAAAAAAATAATAATACATACTTCCAATGCTAAAAAATGAATAATTGATGATTCTATTGAAGGCATTGATGATTTCTCCACCACCAATTTTGTTTTTGCAAATTCCCAGGAACGATACAGGCCATCATATCTTAAATCTATTACATATGAATCTAATCTCTCCCCTAAGTTGAAAAATTAGTTTAACAAACACATATTGTTATATATATCCATCAATAATTTATACATACCCATATTTATAACAGACAATGCTCTCGCAGGTCCACCCTTTGCATCTAATAACTGATTCACTGACTTTTTTGCACGAAGTTGTCCTTTTATAAAATCCTTCTTCTTCCTTAGTGGAGTAACTCCGATAGGTTTTATTTCAGTGTTTAGCAATGGTATGTTATTTATTATACAAGAAAAATCTGGCCGTGTTTTTGAGCCAGCATTTGCTTGATTTAAACGAACTTCATATAATTTGGGCTCTGATGTAAAGAATATCGAATTTATAAATGGATGAAGGTATTTGATGCTATGTAAATCTTCAGAAATCTTGGTGCCGAGAATTGTGGGAACCCCTCTGCTTCTGGATGAGTTTTAAAAGAGTTAAATATTTTCTATTTTTTCTTACAAATTTTGCTTGTTTACAAATTTAACTTACACTTCATTAAAGATATCAGATATTTTTTTACTAAATCCAGACTCAACTGGTTGTAGTTGAACCCTCTTATTAAACATAAAATTTTTGACCATTTCGTTAAGATTATGTGATATTTCTTTTTGAATAAAATTGATATTGATTTGATATGGATTGTTATTAATTATCTGATCCCATTCTTCTATGGTAAAACAATTATGAGGATATGGACATGGTGATGACAGGACTATTATTGAGGATAATGCTCTGTAATGAATTGCAAAAAAAAATTTTTATAAGATCGTTTGGAATTTTTTCATCATTTCAAAAATACTTACAAAATTTCGTATATAGAATTCCAAGTCAAATTTTTTTCTTTAGCCATTTTTAAAGCATCTAGTTGATACTCGCGGAATTTTTCCGAAACATTGATGCCTTCTACATACCACTGAAGTTACATGAAATAAATTTAATATGTTCCATCAATATTTTAAACTATGAACTTTGAATTTTAATCATTATAATGCATCTATAATAGTAAGTATTTACCTCATTATGATAGTAATCTTTGTTTAATTGCTGTTCGATAATATTAAGAGTCCTAAGGTTCATATCAACAATTTCATCGTTTGTTGATGTTGACGATGGCGTTGTTGTTGTTTCACTAAGAAACAAAACGTTTATTTTAATCTCTGTGAGCTGAGCTAGAGTGATGACAACCACCATTCTTTTTAATAATTACTAATAATAACACTTACTTTCTTCTATCTTTTTTAGTATTAATGGTTTTTCTTTTTTTCTTTTTATTAACGTCCATTTTTATTTTTTAATTTAAAAAAAATGAAAAAAAAGAGGACAACCACAGAGAAAAGTTTGGAGAAGGCAAAAATAGGACACAAAAATGCAGAAGAGAAGTTAAACAGATTAGAAAAGTTGAGAGAAGGATAAGAAGAAAGATATACTGATGAACGAAAGATTTTAGAGAGAAGGCTAAAATTTTTTTATTTACGCGTATGTCATAGGAGGACTTTCGTATGATTGGTTGATTTTGCCGATCAAATTCAATTGAGCTTACACATTATTTATATGTTATACAGTTTAAAGTACTTTTTTAAGGGCACAATGTTACCATAAATAAAAAATACATAATTTGCTTCAATATTCACTGTGCAGAAGAATCAAAAAAAAGATCAAAGACTTGAAATATTTTATTTAGAAGACAAAATATGTTACCAACTTACCAACTACTATTACTAGATCGTGTGCAATTACTATAAGTGGAGAAAGGTAACTGAGTTTGTTATTACTAAAGGTCAAACTAACAGCACTTTGCCAAATTATGTACATTTAGGCGATACAATATGTTTAAACTGTTACAATGGAATCGTAACAAGAAGCTCAGCTATATTCTAACAACATGCTCAAACAAATACGAAACAGCCTGAAACTGATGAGATTGATGAAGCTATTGAGAATACTGATGAAATTGAGAGTGCTAACTCTTGTCTTTTTCTAAAGCAATAGAGATGATAACAAACATTATATATACTCGTGAAAATAGAGATTTAGAGAAAACTTTGCACACACACCTACACGGGCAGTATATGAATATCCTGCATGGGATATTACAGTTTTGACAAAAAATGCCTGCATTCTTTTGCAATGTTTTTCAGAAATTTATTCACATATATTTAATCATAACTCACTAATAACATTTCCATTACAGACATTACAGACCATAACATCTTTGAGGAAAAAAGACAAAGAAAAAATTGATGATGTCATTTCATTGACTGCAATGAAAATGCCAGAAGCACGATTACGTCACCTTCCTTTGGGTTTTAGTACTTTGCATAAACCAGATCCACTTCATTATTGTGATGCTAATTTTTCAACCCATACGCGACTCTCATATTGATATATATTATTGTTGGCTGATTAAGTTGCACGAATTTTTGTAACTGTTATTATACATATCACATGACATTAATACTAGAACTTCAAAAAACTAACGAACTTTAAGAAGGCGAGAGTGATCA